TTTATATTTGCGACAGCTTTGGCCCTTTATTTCCACGAAAGCAGATCAGTTCAAAGTAGGATCTCCGTAAGAGCCCTCTGCGATGTACTTGACTTAACATTAGGAAGCATGTAGTAGACGAATGTATATTTTCACCATACTCTGTATCAGACATTCAGAAAAAAAATTGAATATTGTGTTCTGTACAAGGATTATTATTACCTTTTTGTTCCCATCCCGCCCGTATCTGTCAGATACAGGTTAAAAGTTCTCCGTAACGAAGAAATGTATTTTTTACAAAACCATATACCTCACAATCCTCAGATAATGGGAAACATCGTGGGTAGTGAGTTCGGTCAATCCCATTAGTTTATTTCAAACACGCCCTTTGCTACTCGGGTAATTTTTTTTATATATAGTAATATTTATTTGTCTACAAAATACACATTCAGTACACATAAAATTTTATGGAAGAGCCCGCAGAAGGCTGGCCCTTGTACGCGGGTAAATAATTTACGAAATACTTATGTAATAACGATGACGTAACATAGTAAAATAGTTTCCTCTAATTTACCATATAAGGGATGCACGTGTATAAGTTTGGGTGAAACTGCCATATATGTAGATATACTCATCTAATTTGGTATATTGATGGGAGTATTAACCATTAAAGCATAAACCGTGCATCCGACTGGACCAAAACTAAACAGATTTTTAAAAAACAACACTACATAAAGTATAAAACTGGGCACTAAGTTTTAATGATTTAACACCGACTAACCTACGTATAATTATTATTATTTTTACACAACACAAAGAGCCAGGAGTAAATAAAATCTGCAACAAATAAGATATAAAAAGTGTTGAACAGTACCTACGAAAAAGAGCAAAATCAATCAGTGAAGAATCTGCAACTTTCAATGTTTAGCTCAAGCTTTCTATATGCATATGGCCAGGCTTTTATTTGTTTATTAAATAAATTTGAATTGTTTACTTTTTTTGCGAGGCACTAGGATTGTAACGAAAAGCCTCGGACAGAGAAAAATCTAGAATCTTTGTATAAGTGATTTCTCCGGCTTTCTCCAGCACTTTCTGACGGATGTCATAGTAGTGTTTAATTTGCTCCAATGAAGACCTGTTTCAATACTGAAAAGTGATGAGGTTGTACATACACAGTCAGTCTGATGTCAAAACAGTTAGCCCCAACAGACAAATCGTTGGAAAGATAGGTCTCTCTTTTTTTGTATATAAATTTAAGTATGTATTTTTGTACACATTGACTTGAGTGCACACACCTCCCGATCCAACGGTACAATAGTTTAAGTGACACTGAGGAAGTGCAAAATATAGCGTTTTTTCAGACTTCTCAGTCAGTAATCCTACTAGATCTATGTTTTTTTCACATTGTATTATATATGTTTCGACTATTTGAAGTTTTTATAGAGGACAATACCTAGATATTGTCTTATTAGTACTTAAATCAATATTTAGCGTGGCACGCAGTGAAATTTATTTATTTATTTATTTATTTATTTACAGCTTTTATTGCCCAACAGATAATATTCCATTTATAGGCCAAAATCTCAAATTAGAAATATTACAAAAGCCTAACTTATAAAACTATTTAAGGCGCTCCCGCAGAACACATTGCAGCTCCGAAATAGAACATAAGAATATGTCACAAAACTTACAAATACTATTATAATTCAAGCACATAACCCTTTCAGGTGATTTCAAAATCAAATTTGTGTTTGCACGACTATAAAAGAAATTAACATTACATCTTGAAACGGATCTTGGCGTTAAAAACTGTAGTTGTAATAACAATTCCGAAGAAACTATAGTTCCATGCAAGAGTTTAAACAAAAAAATAACAGAACTGTGCTTCCTCCTCACATTCAAAGACGTCATTTCAAATCTGTCTAACAGGATTTGATAGTCCGACCCACGTTGAGGGTAGACTCTATCGCACTTAGAAGCTAGATATTTAAGACATTTATATCCTATTTATACAGGGTTATCCAAATTAAGTGTCCACCATTAGTAACTTTGTTATTAGTGAAAATACAAAGTTGTTTGAATTAGCAAACTAGTAGCATTTTTAACGCTGGTAAAAATGAAAAATAAAAAAAAAACAATTGAGAGTCGTTATTTTGATTTTTTTCAGTAAAATAACATTTTTTTAAATAGAAACCCCTGTATATTATATTTTTTTCTGTTAAAGCATCAAATTTTAAACAACAAAGCTTACAATAACTTTTCTCCTAGGTTACAAATTGTTGAAGTTATGGCCTCCAATCTGAAACAATTAAATTGTATCGACAAACTTTATTTTCAACATCAACTTATAATCTTACAAAATACAATAACAATTTTTTTTAAAGAAGATGCTCGAAAACACCACCTTGTTCTTCAATACATTTTTGGGCACGTTTTTCAACTGCTCGAACTGTCTTAAGTATGGTCCTACCATCTATCTGGGTTATCTTTTCCCTAACTGCAGTCTTTAACGCGTCAAGGTTATCGCACCTTCGCTTGTAAATTTGGTTCTTTAAGTAACCCCACAAGAAGTAATCAAGTGGGTTTAGATCTGGTGATCTGGGAGGCCACTGTATTGGGCCATTTGTTCCTATCCACTGATCATTAAAAGTAGTACTTAGAAAATGATAAGTACCTCTGGAGTTGTGGGCAGGTGCGCCATCTTGCTGAAAATGCAGATGATGTCTACTTATAAGATCCAATTCGTCTAAGAAATTAGTCAGAATTTCTGACATAAATTCCACATATCTTTCAGCAGTTAGGGTTCCCTCATAAAAGAACGGGCCAACAATTTTTGAACCAATTATACCGCACCAAACGTTGAAACTGAAACGGACTTGTGGGCCTCTTGGATGTACTAACAAAAGATTTTCTCTTGACCAATAATGGTGATTTTTTCTATTAAACATTCCAGAATTTGAAAAATTTGATTCATCTGTCCATAAAAGGTAACGAAAGTTATTTACATTTTGGCGACAGAAGCTAAGATACCAATGGCAAAAAACAAGTCTTCTCTCTGGATCCCCTGCCAAAAGCGTTTGAACTGGTCGGTACTTATACGGAATAAATTTGTATTTTTTTAAAATCCTTTGAACACTACCATAACTGAAATTAGAGTCCTTGAGAATATCTGCTATTGAATTCTCACGATAAGCTTCAAAATATCCAATAACTGCAATTTCCGTGGCCTCGCTTATTATGAATTCTCTTTTTGCCCTTGTTTTAGCAAAAACATTTTCGTTGCCCCTAAATTTTCGATAAAGTCTCAGAAAATATCGTTCATACGGTTGAATGCGAGCGGGATATAATTCACTGTAGTATTCTCTTGCTCTCAAGGAGGATTTTCTGCACACTAAATAGCATTCTAACATATCACACTTTTCTTCATGGGAGAACATTTTTCTTTAAATTAATGACACAATAAAGCTTATAAACAAGTATTTACACTAATGTTTGACATTATTTGATTTTATCATTGTTTTCCAAAGCCTTCTAGTTGCGAGTATGTCCAGTTTAACAATTTGCCGCTTATCTTAATGCTGTCAAATCGCGAACGCCATGTTGTTTTCATAGCCGTCTTAATATTATAATACTGCAAATAATTAAAAATATTTATCGTTATTTTGACTTTATTTTTGACTTTAGCGGAAAAGTCATTATGAACTTTTTTGTTTAAAATTTGATGCTTTAACAGAAAAAATATAATATACAGGGGTTTCCATTTAAAAAAATGTTATTTTACTGAAAAAAATCAAAATAACGACTCTCAATTGTTTTTTTTATTTCTCATTTTTACCAGCGTTAAAAATGCTACTAGTTTGCTAATTCAAACAACTTTGTATTTTCACTAATAACAAAGTTACTAATGGTGGACACTTAATTTGGATAACCCTGTATAATAGTTATATTAGGGATTCCATATTAGGGATGCATATTCTAACTTGGATCTTATATAAGCATAATACAAGGTTTTTAGTGCTGTCAAATCATTGATTAGCTTACAGTTTCTAAAGCGAAAACCTAAGGCCCTAGTAGCATTATTCACAATATTATCTATATGACGGTCAAAACTAAGCCTAGTGTTAAACATAACACCCAAATCATGAACAGTATCAACTCGAATGACCTCAACTCCCCCAATACTGTATGTATATTCTATTTTACGTAGCATTCGGGATAAAGTAACTACTTGCATTCAGCAATATCCAAATGTAACCTGTTTAGCATACACCAATCTTCCAGACGGCAAAGTTTCAATCTCTTTCACTATTAATATTAACACACAGTTTCAAATTAGCAGCAAATAATAGTTTACCACAATCAATATAATCGCATACATCATTTACAAAGATAAAAAATAGTAAGGGGCCCTGGTTAGAACCTTGTGGCACCCCAGATAACGAATTGTATCGAAACGATCCGAAACCATTGTAAGAAACGTACAGCTGTCGCTTCGACAAGTAAGACATTAATAGCGATATTGATTTGTCAGTAAAACCAAATGAATCCAGCTTAGCAATGAGCACCCCATGATCAACCTTATCGAAGGCTTTAGACAAGTCAGTGTAAACTGCATCCAGCTGTCCCTGATTATCTAGGACATTCGAGGCTATCTGAGTGAATACTGCCAAACTGGTGACAGTTGACTAACCACACATGAACCCATGCTGAAACTCGGATATTTGACTATAGGTGGAAAGGTAGATGCGGTTGTAAAGCATTATTTCAAATAACTTGGCAAAATTATTCAATATTGAGGTCGGTCTGAGTTGAGTTGAGAGAGGAATAACTCCAGTCTACGTAAGTAACTAATGCTAATATTCACCATCCCGTGAGAAGTACAATTAATGACTAATCCAGATTATTGCCGTGTTTTCATATGCACCGATACATTTAACACCTGCTAATCGTGTTTAGGCGTAATCCTAGCGTATTGACAGTTTAATCCGAAAATTGACGGATTGGGGTTCTAACCTCTAGTTGTTGATGTCTTTGCTAAGAAGTGCTTTTTTGCAAAAGCAATGCAGATCGAAGATGAGATTTCCCTTGACGATGATGGTGACATCCTAGATACTGTTCGCTTCGGATTTCCAAGACACTGTTATGCACGTACAGATATTTTTAACGAGATGGACGACCTATCGTTTTTCAGGAGATTTCGGCTCCAAGAAAACACTGTCCTCAGATTGGTAGAACAAAATCATCTACTCGCGTTTGATAACAGTTTGTAAGTATTTTTTACCAAATAGTAAATCACGATAATCAATTTCCTTTGACAGAATTGAAGTTTAAACAATAACGTCTTTAAAGACCCTTTCCTCTGGCCGCGGATCTGAATCACATATTTATTTCCAAGATTTCAGTCACTATATAATTTTTATTTTTCCAGGAATAATAGTGTGTCGCCCATTAATCAGCTCGTTACATGCCTACAATTTTATGACTTCAATGTACATTAAAATTGTATTAGAGACTTTATTAGCATGCATCAGGCAACAGCATCTCGTATAATTGCAAAAGTTTCAACAGCAATAGCAGGTTTATCAAATCAATATATCAGAATGCCCAACGAAGCTGATGAAATAGTAAGAGTTCAGAATGGCTTCTATAGGATCTGTAGATTACCACGAGTCGTTGAATGCATTGACGGGACGCACACAAAGATGTGATCACCAGGAGCTCAAGATGGAGAAGTTTTTCGTAATAGAAAGTCATATTTTTCTATAAATACTCAAATAGTTTTTGGGCCAGATTTGAAAATATTTGATATTGTTGCTCGATGGCCAGGATCTTTCCATAACTGAACTATTTTCAATGCCTCCCACCTAAGAACAGGCATTGAAGGTAGAGAATTTCAGAACGCGGTGCTCTTGAGAGATAGTGGTTATCAGCTGAAAGTCTACCTAATGACACATCTACAAAATCCAGGCAATGTTGTCGAAAATCTTCATAATAACGCTCATGTGAAATGTAGTAGAAACATTAATTGGTGTTTGGAAACGTCGGTTCCCAGTATTAGCCTATGGTAGTCGGTGTCGATTAGATAACGGTTCAACTACAATTGTTGCCACTGCTGTGCTAGCAAAACATGGCCGTGAATATGCTAGCTCAAGGATTTGCCTTCCTATCCAAGATAACTCAATGGTCAAGAGCTGGATTACCTAATTTTACAAGGAGACCTTCCTCATGTACATGCAGCGAATGTTGGTCAAGACCCATTTAATTTTCGCCAAAATCTAAAAGATAACTATTTTAGTTATTTTTAAAATATCTGGATAATAATAAATACACAATTTATGGAAAAACTACATACTTTTTAAAACTTTGCTACAGTAGCTTTATTGTATCGAAAAAAGTACCATATAGTAAAGTAATAATTTTCATTGTAAGGCGTTGGAATTTAAATTTAGTTTTTGGTTGGAAATTTTTAACTGGATTTTAAGTTTTTCTTTCCATTATTATTTATAAATTCTTGCTCTCCAGCTGTAGCTTTTGTTTTTCGAATAAACTGAGTATTTCGTCTAAGAGTAGATTGTATTTAGAGACAATATCAGAAAATGTTAAAGCAGTCACAACTTGTTTCGGTCTTCTTTTATACCTCTGTGGAGTCTGGGGAAACTCATTTGGAGAGCGAGTTTAGGCTCGCACTTCATAATAGGCATCGCTCCACCTCCACTTAAAAATCTTCGGTGTTTCTCCTCACCTATTTTCCTTCTTAATTCTTATATTTATGCAACATTATCAATTACTCGGCTTTTCTGTAGGTATGCAGTAGAGGGAGAGGAGTTAAATTTTTTAATATGGTTACAAGCATTGCTTTAGAGGCTCTTTCGGCACTTTTACATTAAATAAATACATCTTTTCATTAGCAGTAAAATTCGGTTCTCATTTCTTCTGATTCCTTTCCATTTTGGGAACCCTCTTGAACATATAGAAACTGTCACATTTCAAAATTTTTTGACAGAATCTACAAATTTTCAATATTGCCACGTTTTGTTCAACGATTAGGTAATCGCGATTAGAAAGTGGTCCGTGAATCATATTCGAATCTGCCGTTCCTGATCCGGATTCCCCAATCTGGATTAAAGTGTCAAACGGTGCATATGGGCATAAGGAATCGGTGTTAAGAAATTAGCGATGGATCAAAGCAAGAATTGATACAACCTGCATAAGGATTTGTCATTATCAAAAACAAGAACCTCTTTTTTAAGATTCCAGCTGCTAGATTACATCAATCTATCATCTCTCAACGAATGCAAATTCTATAGACTAGAATCTCCACTGTCCAGATTCTAATAAGATGGAATGTACCCCTCAATTTTACTTCTATGCTATTCAGAGTTACTAAAGTATTCCTTAAAAAGCGACGTAATGTATAGATATATAAAAAAATGGGGACTCATGATTGGCATCCACAGAGTGGAGGTCCAAGTTCCAGGTATCAAAAATGAAAGTTGCTGGTTGTGATCAGTCGCCGGTTGAAAATTTGAGCACATGCTTTCCGATATTTCGTGGAACATGTGATCACAGATGAGACACAGACTATGTAGAATGCTGGTACTTTCCAAAAGTAACCACAATTGATTCAACTAAATAAATATGCAGCGTGATAGCGGGGGGGAAATAATAAAGGAAAGTTGAAGAGAGTACCTTCCATTTTATAGAAAAACTTCAAGTACCGTCCTGTTACAAGCTACCATCTTGCATTCCTATAAACGGCTTATGTTTCTAGCTTAGTGTGCCAATTGTATTTCTGTCAAAACCGATTCATACATAAATGTGTCTGTTTTCCTACGACACCGGTGAGCTACTGATGGGCGTCGTGTATTTTCACATAAACATCCGCTAGATGCGGGGCTGTATTCCATATGTAGACTAGAGTAAGGTCCGTTAGCGTAGGCGTAGAGGAAAGCTAGCTCGCCGACGGCCCGCCTGTGCGAAAGGGTCCCTAGACTGTCCATTAGAGAAGAGTTATCGATTAGTCGGACAGGCCTCCCCTGAACAGCACCAAGCACGGGTGATGCAGTCGGGGAGGCAGCACCTGTACAGATAGTTTCAACCATATAAACAGATACCCTAGCCTTTTACCAGCAGCTGCCGCTATTGACGAGATATGCTTGGGCCAGATCAAGTCCTCGCTGGACTCAAAATGAATGGCTCTTTGGCAGACCTCGGCCATCCATCGAAACCGGATGAACGATAGGATGCTTCTTGTTCGTCTTGGTGCAGCACTTTTTCGAACATTAAACCGTGCAAGATTGTAGCGTCCTCATGCAGTGATAATGTATCTCGTCAGAGAGAAGTCGCCGCTAGTTTTCGTTTCTCCAGCTCACACGCAAATATCAGCTTGTCACTCTCAACTCCCGCATGTAGAGTGGTGTGATGAGCAAAGCTGTGGATCGGACGGGTCTTGGAGGAAACGAAGTCTCTGATAAGTAAGAGAAACTAGAACCTCAAAATCCGAAGATCCAGGTCGCTTTAGATCAAGGCATACATTTGGAATAACGGAACTTGTTGTATTAGAGGGCATAGGATATGCCTAATGTATCATTTGTATATCCGGTATGTAACAACATCTCATAAGCGCCTGTTATTTGCCTTAAGAGAGACAAGCTGGAACCATGAAAATTCTCCAGCATTTATTCGCAATGCAATGTGTTTGAATCACTTAATCTTAATCGTCAGAATCGTGGGGGCCCCAAATTCTCAATCGAGGGCAAATATGGGTTAGGTACGTCTAGGGGGTGCAGGCGCAAGTCTAACGATTAGGTCTGGTAAGGTAAGTTTTACCTCAAGACCAATAACCATTTTCTTGAGAAACAAGTGACAGACTTGGTCGCGTAGGAAGAGGGACACCCGTCTCTAAATCATCTCTTGCATTCATTCCCACACACTTGTCAGCTATCAGAAACACTGATGCAGTCGAGATAATTTTCATTCGCCGATAGCAGCCCCCCAAACAAACCTCTTTGTGGATATGAATTGTATATACAGCTTCCTGAATCCGCAATTGCAACAAAGTGACCTCTTCTCACTCAAAACCTAGATTTGCGCTTGCTCATAATTTTATAATTGTAATATTACTTCTCAATTCGTTCGGTGCACCAAGTAGCAATATCCATAACATGTCAGATCCAGTCCCTTGCGAGCATCTGTCTCGATAACAGTCCCTTAGATGCCGGTCATGCTTTCCTTGGCCCATGAACGGAGCTTCAAAACGACTTCGATATCCGCAACAACCTGATAGATACGCAGATATAAAAAACCACCAACATATTTATACGAAACCGCCGCATCTCGGCCACGCCGGTATCTTCTTCCACCTTCATAAATTCTCTCTTCTATATTAAATAGATAACGCCCGCTGACCGTATATACGCAAGAAGGGACACAGGGGAAACCGGAACCGATAAATTACGTCCCCCAGGGGGGGCTGTAAGGGGCAGGCAACCTTGCACGAGCCCGCTACGTGACCCCGATTTCCAGAAACTATACAATCCCGCCCCCGTTCGGTGGGATTGTAAATTTTTGAAATCGCATATTTTTCTGGCGTTGGAAGGTCAGAGGATGAGATAGGAGTCGGATTTTTTCCGGTATGAACATGTAAACAGATATGTTAAGGCCGTTTAAAGCGTAGATATGTGTGGGTTGGACAGTTGTGAAACCCGGAAGATTTTTTAGTATGATGCAGTGGTCAGATGGCAATTTCAGAAAATTAACAACCACTTTAGTCGGACTTGCAGGGAAAGCTCGCCTTAGCTGGCGAGTGAATCAATCTAGAGAAGGAGAGCGAAAAAATTGAACACTGCTCAGGGCGGTACACAGGCTGTAAAAGGAAGGTAAAACCTAAACACATCACGAAGGTTTTTGACATCTATAAGGAGTAGTATGAAGGCATTATAGTCGCGAATAAACAAAATAAAAATAACATAAGGTTCATCATCCAGGTTCGAAAAAGACGTGACGGGCCGTTAGCGACATGGCTTTCTTCTAGCGTTATGTCAACGGGCTTTGCTCTTCAGAGCTTTCCTTCATCATGCCGCCGCGCGATGTGCCTGCCAGACCCGCCTAACTTCGATCTACTATCCTAATCGTGTTGAACTTAGTACAACCACAACTGGCCGATACGACCGTTCCTTTGCCTCTAGGATGTCCAGATTGTTAAACAATTTACTTGATGAGGCTTGCCCTAGTTCTACTAACCGTAGGCAGTTCAAATGACGAATAAATAAAGGTTTTGAAGAATCTTTGATATATGCGGACAAACATGCTTGTGATTGGAAACATTTATAGCTCTTGAGGCTTAGAACCTGGAATCTCCAAATATCGAAAATTACTATTTGCGATACTAGCATCACGTATTAGTATTTTTGCACACAAATATTACAAGTACTGAATTTTTTTTATATTGATATATTATATTATTTGATTTTATATTTATTTACTCATATTGTTTGTTATCTTTGTACATTGAGTGAATAAATATTATTATTATTATTATCAAATTTTATTGGAAGCCACTAGGTAATACCGTGCTGCGGCCTCCACAGTCCGCAATTGGTGCATGAAAACAAACGAATTCAGAAGATTTATTTGTCTCCTAATTTTCATAGTGTGTAGTAAAGATGAACGCATTTTTTAACTGTTATGTCATCAAATTCATATTTTTAGTGTAATTTGACTTTCCACGCGTACTAGCAATGAAGTACTGTAATCGCGAAACATTTTGTTACTGATATATTGTGTCTTATTGGATGTTACATGACACGTAGATCACGAAAAACCATGTTACTCATTTCCGTCTACCTTTCTGTCTGTCCGTCTGTCCGCTGATCCTTGACCACTCTATAACTTAGAAAGTACCGCTCGGATTGTGATGAAATTTTCACACAATGTCACTACAATGCCACGGACGAAAAAGATTTGTAGTGTTTGTAAATCACGATAATGGCGGCGGATCGAAGGACAATAAGCGAAGAAATAAAAATTGCTCAAACATTGTCCTTTGACGTTTCATAGGCTCCAGATAATTACCGCAAACATTTATATAGGGGCTGAAAAATGGGGAGCATCGGGTGCACGGGATGGAGAAGGATATACCGGGTGTCTAAGAAATCGTTTTACAAGGCACTGTTCAGTTGCTGTTTACAGGAAAACCCTGAAATTTTGTGTGAAGATATTACTGATAAAAATTCAGATTATCCGTTAAACAACAACTGAGTTCCGCTCCCGATTCGACCGGAAGTGAGTATGAAACAAGAACTTTAAGTAGGACTCTGTAT